GAGATGGCAGCTGCCAGGAAGGGGCGGGAGCCAGAGCTGGGAATGGTTTGGGGTACAGGGAAAGAGGGTCAGTGCTGTGTGTCTCAGGGCATCACCTTTTAATGCCCTTCCCTTCTCGCCCACCGTGCCGTGCCGGCCCAGACACCTGCCATATGGGAAAACAGCCATGGATTGCTGCACCCAGTCCCCAAATGCAGCCGCTTCTGGGGTGGGGCACAGCAGCTCTTTAACCGCGCAGGGCGACGCTGGGTGTCAGTTCAGTCCGGGAGGAGAGGTGGGGGCCGTGTTCAGCTGATGCCACAGCGGGGCCTTTGGGATGGTAGTACAGAATGAGGCGAGTTGGTCTATGGCCAGGATACTGGAGTTCACGCCCTGGCTCCCGTCACACTGGCAGCCTCACGCGACGGAGGCACAAAGCCCCTCTGATGCTGGGGGCCCGAGTGTTACAGCTCAGCAGACCCTTGGCCTCATAACGGCTGAGCAGCCTCTACCCTAGACTCAGTTGGGGGACAGCCCAGCGTGGACCCTCTACCAGCCAGTCCTTGTCCCCCTCAGCCATGGGGCTGGCAGACAGGATGCACAATAGTACCTCCGACCCTGTGCAATCTTCCCCCGCCCAGCCTGTGGGTACCCCAGGGGAGCATAGGGGGGCCAACATCTTCACCACAACAAGGGGATTGTCATTGCTCCCCTGTGAGATCATCGCTCTCCCCCGAGCAACCACAGAGCGCTGGGCTCTGATCCCGGCCTCTCCTCCTGACGGGCGTTTATCTCAGGCTGATTTATGTGCATGGCTGTGGGGTGGGGGGCTGCCTCTGTGCGTGTGAATGTGACTACACCCCTGTGCGTGGGTGTCTGTCTGTCTCCGGCTGTGCATGCAGAGGCCTGTGTGTGTGTGTGTGTGTGTTTGCGTACAGCAGTGCACTTCTCTCTGCATGTGTGAACATGTGTGTTTGCACGCCACCTACATGTCTACATCTTGGGCCATTTGTGGGTGCCTGCATGCCCAGGTGTGAGCATGCATGCGTTTTGCATGCTCCAGTGTCTGTGTCTCTGGAGCTGTGTGTTTGCACACCATGTGTGTGTCTGTATCTCTCTGTGTGTGTGTATGTGTGTGAAATCACTCTTGTCTGGTTCCAGCCTGCCCCACGTTTCTAAACTGTCCTGCCAGTTTCATGGACTGCGGGGCAGGTTCTGCTCTAGGTTACACTAGGGGAAGTTGTGAGCCCAGAGGATTTTCCCTGGTGTAACTGAGACTAGCATCCGCCCTTTTCTGTCTCTGCACCCCTCCCAGGCACTTGTACCCATCTAGACCCAGCTTCCTTGAAGCCTGCCTGCCTACCTGCTGCTGGCCGGAGCGCCCCTGCCCTCTGGGCCAACCTCTCTATGCCTTTCCACCTCACCGACAGCTGTCCCAGCCCTGTGGCCACCAGGAGAGACACTGGACCGGTGGAGAATTAACATTTAGCCAGTGCCAAGGATTTAGGTGGTGTCTAACCAGAGCTGGAATTCAACTAGGCTGGTGTGCTGAGACCAGTGCTGGTCATACTGCTGATATTGTCCCAGCGTTTGCTGGTGCTTCCCTGGCGCTCGGTCTGGAGCCACCTGGTGCCTCGACTTGCCCTTAGACTGCAAACTGTGCTGCCGGGACTGTCCTGTTCGGTGTATGTGCAGAGCCTGCCACAACCCTCCAAGGTGCTACCGTAAGACGACGACTCCTGAGAACTCCGAGCTCTGGGCATCTCCTCGTGAACAAGCCAGCGGGATTTCCCAAGGGAGAAACCATTAGGGCTCCATAATCTTTTGATGGGGTCCTACAGAAGTGACAAATGACCTACGGAATTTAATCCTTTCTACAGAAGAGTGGGTGTGGGGTTTTTTAATCATCCTATAGATTTCCACAGCCAGGAGAGAACCCGCCGGGGGAAGAATCGGGAGCCCATAGACCAGTGATCACTTTGCATTCAATTTGACAGGGCTTCTCCAGCACGGGCCGCCGGCAAAGCTGACGACTACAGAGGGAAAGGAGAAGTCGGTGTTCAGCGGCGCACACGGCAGCCCAGCGGCTTAGCTCCTTCTCCTCCCAGCCCCGGTCTCCCTGTTATGAAGAGGTTTCTGCTTTACATGGTGTTCTTTATTATCATTAATGAAAATTAATGCATGCTTCCTGCCTTCAAAGGGATTCATAAACGTTAGCTAATCTTGAGTACGCCCCAGGAGTTGCAAAAAATCTAGGCCCAGCCCATGTCTAGACTCAGCAGGAGATAGATCTCCCAGGCCCTGCGCTCGGAGCCCCGAGAATCTCCATTCAGCTATAAGCCGCGTGGGGACTTTTATGGTTATTATCCAAATTGCAGCAACAGCTGAGAGCCCCTGTCATGCACCAGGCCCCATGGTGCTAGGCGCTGTACGAACACAGACTAAAGGGATGGCCCCTTCCCCAAGGAGCTTACAAATGCACAAGATGCCGGACAACATACAGACAGGGGAGCATGCGGTAAAGGGACCGTGACACGCAGTGTAGCAGCTCTTATTGCAGCCAGTAGAGGGCAGCAGTGTGCATGCACCACACACATTCACTTGGGAAATAGCCACGTTTGATAAATGGGGAAACTGAGGCACCTAGAGACAGCCATCAGGGAAGGTGCTGGGAGTAGGACCCAGGAGTCCTGCATTCAGACTACTCTACTAGACCACATTGGCTAATGCGGTAAAATAACTGGGTTGTTTGTGTCCTGGAGCACATGGCGGGTGCAGTGAGATGGGGTGGGGGCAGAGAGGCTGGAGGAGGGACAGAGTGTGAGGGGGAGAGGGAATTAGGTGATGCTGGGGATGAAGGGAAATGGGGTTGTGGGATGCAGGGGCTGGGCCTGAAGAGCAGGGAATGGGGGGCACACGGGCTGGGGTGTAGGGGGATAGGGTGGGGATGCAGGGGTTGGGGGGCAGGAAATGGGGTGGGGGCACAGGGGCTGGGGGCAGGGGAATGGGGTGGGGATGCAGGAAATGGGGGGTGCAGGGAAATTGGGTGAGGGGTGCAGGGGCTGGGCCCGGGGAGCGGCAGGGAAATGCGGTGGGGGGGCAGGGCCTGGAGGGCAGAGGAAAAGGGTGGGGGGGCAGGGCTTGGAGGCAAGGGAATGGGGGGTGCAGCAGGGGCTGGGGACAGGAATGGGGTGCAGGGGTATGGGGGCACAGAATGGGGGCACAGGGGCTGGGCCCGGGGAGGAGGGGATGGGAGTACAGGGAACAGGGGGCATGGAGTGGGGGCACAGGGACTGGGCCCAGGGAGGAGGGAATGGGGGGCAGCGGAATGGGGGCACAGAATGGGGGGGCACAGAATGGGGGTGCAGGGGAGGGGGACAGGGGGTGCAGGCAAAGGGGTGGGGGCACAGGGAATGGGAGGCAGGGGAATGCGGGGCACAGAGTGGGGGCTGGGCGTGCAGGCAATGGGGTGGGGGTACAGGGAATGGGGGGCACGGAGTGGGGGCACAGGGGCTGGCCCGGGGATGAGGGGATGGGATGCAGGCAATGGGGTGGGGGGCGCAGGGAAAGGGGGGCAGGGAATGGGGGACACGGAGTGCGGATGCAGGGGCTGGGTCCGGGGAGGAGGAGCCGGGGGGGTACAGGCAATGGGGGGCAGGGGAATGGGGGGCACGGAGGGGGGGCACAGGGGCTGGCCCGGGGAGGAGGGGCCGGGGGGCGCAGGGGAATGGGGGGCACGGAGGGGGGCGCAGGGGCTGGCCCGGGGAGGAGGGGCCAGCCTGGGGAGGAGGGGCCAGGGGGGCGCAGGCAAAGGGGGCAGAGGAATGGGGGGCGCAGGCACTGGGCCCGAGGAGGAGGGGATGGGGTGCAGGCAATGGGGTGGGGGCACAGGGAATGGGGGGCACGGAGTGGGGGCGCAGGGGGCGGGGGCGCAGGCAATGGGGGACAGGGGAATGCGGGGCACGGAGGGGGGGGCGCAGGCGATGGGGGGCAGGGGAACGCGGGGCACGGAGGGGGGGCGCAGGGGCTGGGCCCGGGGAGGAGGGGATGGGGTGCAGGCAATGGGGTGGGGGCACAGGGAATGGGGGGCAGGGGCTTGCGGGGCACGGAGGGGGCGCAGGGGCGGGGGTCGGGGGCGCAGGCAATGGGGGGCAGGGAATGCGGGGCACGGAGGGGGGGGAGGGGCTGGGCCCAGGGAGGAGGGGATGGGGTGCAGGCAATGGGGTGGGGGCACAGGGAATGGGGGGCAGGGGAACGCGGGGGCGGGGCGGGGCCGGGGAGGAGGGGATGGGGTGCAGGCAATGGGGTGGGGGCACAGGGAATGGGGTGCAGGGGAACGCGGGGCACGGAGGGGGGCGCAGGCAATGGGGGGCAGGGGAAGCGGGGCACGGAGGGGGGCGCAGGCAATGGGGGGCAGGGGAACGCGGGACACGGAGGGGGGCGCAGGGGCTGGGCCCGGGGAGGGGGGGATGGGGTGCAGGCAATGGGGTGGGGGCACAGGGAATGGGGGGAGGGGAACGCGGGGCACGGTGGGGGCGCAGGCAATGGGGGGCAGGGGAACGCGGGACACGGAGGGGGGCGCAGGGGCTGGGCCCGGGGAGGAGGGGATGGGGGGCAGGCAATGGGGTGGGGGCACAGGGAATGGGGGGCAGGGGAACGCGGGGCACGGAGGGGGGCGCAGGGGCGGGGTCGGGGGGCGCAGGCAATGGGGGGCAGGGAACGCGGGGCACGGAGGGGGGGGCGCAGGGGCTGGGCCCGGGGAGGAGGGGATGGGGGGCCGGGGAACGCGGGGCACGGAGGGGGGGCGCAGGCAATGGGGGGCCGGGGAACGCGGGGCACGGAGGGGGGGCGCAGGGGAACGCGGGGGCGGGGCGGGGCGGGGCCGGGGGGGCCCGGGGCCGGGCGCAGCGAGCCGGGCGGCCGGCAGGGAGCGGCCTTTCGCCGGCGAAGGGGGCTGGGGCCGCGGCAGGAGCCGGCGGGGCGGGGCGGAGCCTGGCCGCGCCGCGCTCCGCAGCCCGCTCCCGGGGACACGCAGCCAGAGCCGCGCTCCCAGCCCCGGATTTACAGACCCGGCCCCGCGCGCGCAGCCACCGGCCCGGGGCCGCCGGGGCCCCCGCAGCCGGGCCGAGCCGAGCCGAGCCGAGCCGCCGCTTCCTGCCGGGAGAGCGGGGCGGAGAGCCGGGGGGCAGGCGAGGAGCAGCCCCGCCGAGGTAAGGCACCGGGGTGCGCTGCGGGGCAGGATCTGGGGGCCGTGCGTGGGGGGCCCGTGCATTAGTGAGGGGGGGGCCGCGTGCATTGCATTGCACGGGGGTGTCTGTGCATGGGGGCGGGGGTCCGTGCACTGGAGGGATTAAACTGCAGAGTCACAGGGCTGAGCCCCCCCACCCCCCTCCTGCCTTTCCCAGCTGGACAGCGGGGCTCCTCTCCCCTGCGCCGGGGGGGGGGGCTACCCGCCCAGCGTGCCCCTTCTGCCTCCCCCCCAGGTGCTGTCCGGTTTCCTGGGTTCTCTGTTGCCCCCCTTCCCTGCTGCCCCGGGCCCTGTCAGTGCCATGGCCCGGGCTGGGGAGGGGGCAATTATCCCCCCCTCCCCCCCCGCACACACATGCTTGGGTTTTGTATTTTGCACCGTGTTGTGTTTCCTACTAATTCACCGCCCCCCCCAACCCCACCCTACCCCAAAGCCCGGATCCCAGGTTCCTTCCTGACACCCAGCTTTAATCCGCCCCCCCCCGCCCACTCCCCGGGCTGGCATTAACCTATATTTTCCTCTCCAGCTAATGGAGAGCTCTGGCCTAGCTGGAGGGGCAAGACAGACAGACACACACACTGCCAGACAGCGCCAGCCCTTTAAAAGCTCGGTTTGTTTACTGTGGACATAGCTTGCCCCGCACCGTGCCAGTCTGGGCCTGGCACTCGGGACCCCGGGCGCTGGGGCTGGGTCCCCCAGCCGCACAGAGATGCAGCAGGCAAAGCGCCTCTAATCTCCCCTGGAATGATGGCAACGCTGACTCTGCTGACCAGCTGGGCCCGGGAAGGAGTTGTTTGCAGGACAGGAGCTATTGGGGTGGGGGTTAATCCAGTTTTGGGGAGGGGGGGACACCCTCTCTCTCTCTGTGTTTCTGACTTTGAATATCCCCAGCTTTCTACTGCCCGGCAATGGTATTTTTGCTTTTAAAGGGGGTGGGGTGGGGCGCCAGGACCTGTGTGCGAGCGAGCGACTGCTGCAGGGGGGAGGATGTTGGGGGGCTGCTGGAGCAAAGGGGAGGTGAGTTGGGGAGGGGGAGGCAGAGCGGGGAGGAAAATATGGGTAAATATTTTCTTAAAAACCAGGGCCATTTGGCATGTGGCTGGCTGATCACAAGTCAGGGGGGTCCTAGGGGGGCTGCGTGGGTTTCCGTTATGCTGGCACGGCCCTTTTCCGGCAGAGCCAGACGGATTGAACAACTCCTCTTCGGTGGCAGGGAGGGGTAGGAGCGAGCAGTGTTCCCCTTCCCCCCCCCGTCACCCCCCACTTGTGGCCGGGGATCCGTGGGGGAGTGGGGCATACCGCTGGACCCGTGCAGTGGGGTTCCGCTCCCCAGCCCAGGGAGGCTCCAGACGGGCGGCACGGGCGTAGCAGCGACAGTCAGTCGCGGTGTCAGCGGCCAAGTCTGCGGAAAGGAGAGTGACAGCCGTGGCCAGCACGCTCCGGAGGTGGGGGTGAGGTGGGGGCCCAATCCAGCGTGGGGCTGAGTGCTGTGGGGACACACGCAAGGTCAGGCCCTCTGTAGCGTGCCCCCAGCCAGCCCCTGGCCCTGGCCTGCTGGATTGAACATCACCCCGTCGCCCCCCAGAAAACAGGGACCCCGTCAGACTTCAGCCAAGGTCTGCCTGCGCCCAAGCTGGCCTGGCTTCACGCGTTCCGCTCCCGGGGAGCCTGCGGAGGGCGCTCTGCTCAGCCTGGCCCCACCCCCTCTCCAAACTTGGCGAGCGGCGTCAGGAATGCATTTAATTTTTTGCAGCGATTTTGTGGTTGCGGGAGCTGGTTTGGGCGGGGGGGGGCAGGTGACCTGTGACCCCGGGATGTCCCTTAGGAGTGTGAATGGGCCCGCTCTGGAGAGTGGAAGGAGAACGTACTGGGCAGGGCCGGGTATGGCACCCCGTCCGTCCTCCCACAAGTCCGGGATGACTTGCTCAGGATCTCCAGCAGACCGTGCCAGGTGTCCCTGGAAGGGGCTAGCAGGGGCAGCGTGGGAGGTCAGGCCGGGGGGCACAGTCACCTGTGAGCCCACCGAGGGCCAGGTCTGATGCTCTTATCTGGAGCGGCTGGGCAAAGCACCCTGTATGCAGCTGTCTCCGCCTTGCAGTCCCTCCCCCACCATCCCCGGGGTCCCTCCTCAGCTTTCTCTGCCTTCCCCTTGTCATTGTCCATTGCCACATACACAATTAATGGCTCTGCTAAAGCTATCAGGAAACCCAGCTGACTGTCCTGTCAGCTGGAGGCCACCTCTGGCGAAGGGGAGGGGGCTTTGTGGAGACTGGGGGGGTCTGGCTTGTTCTGCGGTTATTGGTAGAAGATGACGGGTAGCTGCAGTTGGAGAACTCGTCATAGTAGTTTATAACCTGTTAGTGCCAAAAGACCCCAGCAGCGAGCAGGGCCCCGTCGTGCCGGGCGCCGGCCAGACACACAGTGACCGAGATCGGGGCCCCGTCGTGCCGGGCGCCGGCCAGACACTCAGTGACCGAGATCGGGGCCCCGTCGTGCCGGGCGCCGGCCAGACGCAGTGACCGAGATCGGGGCCCCGTCGTGCCGGGCGCCGGCCAGACGCAGTGACCGAGATCGGGGCCCCGTCGTGCCGGGCGCCGCCCAGACACACAGTGACCGAGATCGGGGCCCCGTCGCGCCGGGTGCCGGCCAGACGCAGTGACCGAGGTCGGGGCCCAGTCCAGCCGAGCGCCGCCCAGACACACAGTGACCGAGATTGGGGCCCCGTCGCGCCGGGCGCCGGCCAGATGCAGTAACCGAGATCGGGGCCCCATCGTGCCGGGCGCCGGCCAGACGCAGTAACCGAGGTCGGGGCCCAGTCCAGCCGAGCGCCGCCCAGACACAGTAACCGAGGTCGGGGCCCCGTCGTGCCGGGCGCAGCCCAGACACAGTAACCGAGGTCGGGGCCCCGTCGTGCCGGGCGCCGGCCAGACGCAGTGACCGAGATCGGGGCCCAGTCCAGCCGAGCGCCGGCCAGACACACAGTAACCGAGATCGGGGCCCAGTCGTGCCGGGCGCCGGCCAGACGCAGTGACCGAGATCGGGGCCCAGTCCAGCCGAGCGCCGGCCAGACACACAGTAACCGAGATCGGGGCCCAGTCGTGCCGGACGCCGGCCAGACGCAGTAACCGAGATCGGGGCCCAGTCCAGCCGAGCGCCGCCCAGACACACAGTGACCGAGGTCGGGGCCCCGTCGTGCCGGGCGCCGGCCAGACACTCAGTGACCGAGGTCGGGGCCCCGTCGTGCCGGGCGCCGGCCAGACACTCAGTGACCGAGGTCGGGGCCCCGTCGTGCCGGGCGCCGGCCAGACACTCAGTGACCGAGATCGGGGCCCCGTCGTGCCGGGCGCCGGCCAGACACTCAGTGACCGAGATCGGGGCCCCGTCGTGCCGGGCGCCGGCTAGACACTCAGTGACCGAGATCGGGGCCCCGTCGTGCCGGGCGCCGGCTAGACACTCAGTGACCGAGATCGGGGCCCCGTCGTGCCGGGCGCCGGCCAGACACTCAGTGACCGAGATCGGGGCCCCGTCGTGCCGGGTGCTGCCCAGACACACAGTGACCGAGGTCGGGGCCCCGTCGTGCCGGGCGCCGCCCAGACACTCAGTGACCGAGGTCGGGGCCCCATCGTGCCGGGCGCCGGCCAGACGCAGTAACCGAGGTCGGGGCCCCGTTGTGCCGGGCGCTGCCCAGACACTCGGTGACCGAGGTCGGGGCCCCGTCGTGCCGAGCGCCGCCCAGACACACAGTGACCGAGGTCGGGGCCCCGTCGTGCCGAGCGCCGCCCAGACACACAGTAACCGAGGTCGGGGCCCAGTCGTGCCGGGCGCCGCCCAGACACACAGTGACCGAGATCGGGGCCCCGTCGTGCCGGGCGCCGCCCAGACACACAGTAACCGAGGTCGGGGCCCAGTCGTGCCGGGCGCCGCCCAGACACACAGTGACCGAGATCGGGGCCCCATCGTGCTGGGCGCTGCCCAGACACACAGTAACCGAGATCGGGGCCCCGTCGTGCCGGGCGCCGCCCAGACACACAGTGACCGAGATCGGGGCCCCATCGTGCTGGGCGCTGCCCAGACACACAGTGACCGAGGTCGGGGCCCCGTCGGGCCGTGCGCTGCCCAGACACACAGTAACCGAGATCGGGGCCCCGTCGTGCCGGGCGCCGGCCAGATGCAGTAACCGAGATCGGGGCCCCGTCGTGCTGGGCGCCGCCCAGACACACAGTGACCGAGATCGGGGCCCCGTCGGGCCGTGCGCTGCCCAGACACACAGTAACCGAGATCGGGGCCCCGTCGTGCCGGGCGCCGGCCAGATGCAGTAACCGAGATCGGGGCCCCGTCGTGCTGGGCGCCGCCCAGACACACAGTGACCGAGATCGGGGCCCCGTCGTGCTGGGCGCCGCCCAGACACACAGTGACCGAGATCGGGGCCCCGTCGTGCCGGGCGCCGGCCAGATGCAGTAACCGAGATCGGGGCCCCGTCGTGCCGGGCGCCGCCCAGACACTTGGTGACCGAGATCGGGGCCCCGTCGTGCCGGGCGCCGCCCAGACACTTGGTGACCGAGATCGGGGCCCCGTCGGGCTGGGTGCTGCCCAGACACTCGGTGACCGAGATCGGGGCCCCGTCGGGCTGGGCGCTGCCCAGACACACAGTAACCGAGATCGGGGCCCCGTCGTGCCGGGCGCCGGCCAGACGCTCAGTGGCCGAGGTCGGGGCCCCGTCGTGCCGGGCGCTGCCCAGACAGGCCTATCCCCGCAGAATTCATGGGGTGGGAGAAAGCCGGGGTTTTCCCCACTGTATGGGTGGGGAACAGAGGCACCGAGAAATCAAGCTGCCCCCCTGGGGTAGGCGCCCTGGTGCGCATGTGCAAGCTGGGGTTTGCATGAGCACGTTGGTGTTACCTAGGAGGGGTGCACATGCAGCTGAGCTCTCTGCTTCCTGGCGCCTGGCGGGCACCGTCTCTG